TGCCTATATTTCACAGGACTGTGCTTGTGTATAACATGAGCCACAAAACAAAAAGGTACATGTTCCATTTAAAAAGCTGTCAGGGTTTTATTACCGACCGAGAGACAGAAAGCCCCATTTCACAGGAATGTTGCGCTCTGTGTGTGTTTTTGTATTTCTCGTCGAAGTTTATACCGACTGACTGAAACTCAATCTCAGGGCTCTTGTGAAGTGTCAGCCTTCTCGGTTTCCTCTGTCTGTGTTAAGAGGACAGGCTCATCATCAGAGTGACCTTCACTGCTGTTCAGAAACACTTCAGCTTAAGGGGGGGACTTAAGAAAACCTTCTTCAGATTAGCTGGGCGGCCATGTTTTTGCCGTTTTGTGTTTTTCTGTAAAAGCAGCATGGCGGCGACCTTTCGGGCATCGTTCTTCTTTCCTGCTGGTGGTGACAAAGACTGAGCTACACTCAGTCCTGCCCTCGCACTGATTGCTTTGTGCTCGGTCTCCACTCGCGCACAGCGGGTCATGTTTTTTTTTATTTGATTTTTTTTAGGGCAGCTCGACTTTAACAAAACGTGTTTTCAAGCGCTGACCCCAGAGAGTCTTTATTCCCTCTTCTTTTTTGTTTTTTTTTACAAAGCACTTCTCAGTCAATAATGCGTGTTTTTTTCTGTCTGAAAGGCTTTCTGCCGGCGGGGGCCTGGAGAAAGTGCCCCGACTGGGGTGTTGTGTCAGCGTGTTCTGACCCAAAGTCTGCGTGTGTGGGCCGAACAAAACAGACTGAACGAGCCCAGAGGCAGAAGCCTGACCATCTTTCTTTGTCTCGTGAGCTTCTTTTTTGTGTTAAACATAGTAAAAATGTAAATTAAATGTGAGAAGCAAGCAAATCCAATGGTTAAATATTCAAGCTAGTTACAGCAGAATTGGTCCATGATGACACTTTTGCCTTCTGTGAATCTGATCTGGGTTTTTTCAGGGTTCATATTAGGTAAAGAAGTTTAACTAATTGGGAATATCGCACATTAAAAAGTCACCACAATATGATGCAAGCAGCATCATTATGTTATGTTTTTTTTGCTACTCGTGGGAAGTGCAGGAACTATAAGTCTTAAAAAGCTGGCAAAGACAATTAGTCCTGCCATTGTCTTTGGGTTTGTGTTCTTATGAAATCCTGTTTAATGCTGTAGAGCTCTCTCCTTGTTTATTCTGTTGACATCCTCTGCTGTGTTTCTAATCATCTAAAAACTCCCTCTGCATTTAAAATCCCTGTTTCCCTGCTTCTAAGCAATGTATTTTCTTTCTCTCTTTCCTTCT